AAAGTGTCCCACATCCCTAGGCCAGAACTTCTGGACTGACCTGCCTCAGTCCAAAAGGTGCAAAGAGCTACTGCCCTTGACTTCCCTAAATGGGTGCCATGCCTGGGCTGCGAGTCTCCAGGCTGCTCTCCATGAGAGCTCCAGAAAGAGCCCAGACAGGGTGCCCCTCCTCAGAGCCCTTAGTTTGGATTCCGGTGTTCGTGTCATTGGGCCCCTGTGCTCCTTGGGATGTGTTGAGATGGGCCTCTCATGGGCTGATGGTTCCTGTGGCAGGCCTGGGAGCAGCTATGGCAGGGTATTTCCTGAGGGATATACATGCTTACTATAGCCTGTAAGTGTATAGAGTTTAATATGCAATGACTGTCCACTGTAGTGACAGTCTATCTCAGTCTAGCCACTAGCAAAGACAAGGATGTAGGCAGAAGCGTCTCCTATAGGTAACTATTCTGATTGTAAAACACACAGTGTATTTTTAAAAGACTTTAAAGAGCTTTATAAACATTAATCAAAGTAATCGTAACAACTGAGAGACAGGCAAGTGTTAGTGTTCTATTCTGCAGGCAGAGAAGCTGAGAATAAGGTGATATAAATGTCTCCTGAGATTTCATATGTCTAGTGCAAACATCAAAGTAGAGCACAAATCTGAATTTTTGGACCAATTTTTCAACCAGTGTGGAAAGTGCAAGCTTGATACTGAAATGTTAGAACAGTCTAGCATGCAACACAACAAAAAGCAGATTTTAGCAAAGGGCTAGTTACTGTAGCTGAACATGACCACTGTTGATTAATCCATTGCATTCCAGAAAGCCAGGAGGAAAGTTTGATGATCTGCTAAAGAAGTAGCTATATTGAGATATATTGTTTTTCTTTCACATTTGCAGGTCATTGCAAGTGTGTTGAGGAACTTGTCATGGCGAGCAGATGTAAACAGTAAAAAGACACTAAGAGAAGTTGGAAGTGTGAAAGCATTGATGGAATGTGCTTTAGAAGTTAAGAAGGTATCTTGTATAAATGATGGAGATAAAGTTTGGATTTATTGCATTTATTTTACACAAAACACAAATATTGTTGTCCTTTTTCATAAAAGTAGTTGTTCAAGTATTTGGGGTGTTTTAGATGATTTGCTTTGAATGAGAGAGTTGTTTTGAGTTAACATGGTAGCAGACCACAGTGTAACAATGCCATCTCAAAACTACTGGTATTTCTGTAATTTTATTTATGAGAGTTGATAGCTTTTGCTATTCAATTTCATGAGCTGTGCTGTTGCAATAGCATTTTTTATAGTTTTGCAATTTAATAAAACCTCTTTTGAGGTTACCACTTCAGTAGTTTTCTGGATCTATTTCTGGTGTCCAGACAGGATTATATTATGCTTCAAGGCATTTTTACTGTTATGACAGTTAGCAAGTATCATTCTGAAGACTCTGGAGCAAGTAATACCAAATCCATAGCTGAAGGAAAGAGACAAGCGAACAGAAGTATTTATGTGTACTGCTGCCTACATCTAGTTTACCAGCCCAGAAAGAAATTGGAACATACATAATTCCTTGAAGCTAACTGCTGTATTTCTGAGAGCTTGAGAGCAATAGTTGAAAACTTCTCTAATTCTGTCGTTCTGGTATTTTCCTAGGAGTCCACCCTAAAAAGTGTTCTGAGTGCCTTATGGAATTTATCAGCACACTGTACTGAGAACAAAGCTGATATATGTGCTGTTGATGGTGCTCTTGCATTTCTAGTCGGCACACTGACATACCGGAGCCAAACAAACACTTTAGCCATCATAGAAAGTGGAGGAGGAATATTAAGAAATGTTTCTAGCTTAATTGCTACTAATGAGGACCACAGGTCAGTATACTTTTTCCGGAAAATCTTTAGCAGTTCCACTTGTACTTTTATTACTCAGCTTCTGTGACTGAGTCTCAATATGAGTGCATGTATTAAGTATAGCAATAAAGTACAGTTAATTCTTAATGCATTTGATAAGGCAAGTATTTCACTTAGATAACAAGAATATGCAAACAGATTAATACCTGCTGCTTGTTAATGATGAACTGTACTAAAAGCTAACTATTCATATTTATAATAGAATTTGATTAGCATTCAGATGAAAGTTAGAGGAAATATAAGATACATTTACTCTGGAGTACTCATTATTATTATCCTTTCAAATGGCAAAACATGTGTCTAGCATAATTGGTTTTTGTTTTGCCTTGTTTCTTATCCTTTTGAAATGCCACTTACTGATGTTTGTTTTCAATTACTCAACACCAGGCAAATCCTGCGGGAGAACAGCTGCTTACAGACCCTGTTACAACACTTGAAGTCACACAGTTTGACAATAGTCAGCAATGCATGTGGCACCCTGTGGAACCTTTCTGCACGAAATGCAAAGGATCAGGAGGCACTGTGGGACATGGGAGCAGTCAGCATGCTGAAGAATCTCATTCACTCAAAACACAAAATGATAGCCATGGGTAGTGCTGCAGCTCTAAGAAACCTCATGGCGAATAGGCCAGCAAAATACAAGGATGCCAACATTATGTCTCCAGGATCAAGCTTGCCGTCTCTTCATGTCAGAAAACAAAAGGCACTGGAAGCAGAATTAGATGCTCAGCATTTATCAGAGACTTTTGACAACATTGATAATTTAAGCCCAAAAGCATCTCACCGTAGTAAGCAGAGACATAAGCAAAATATATACAGTGAGTATGTCTTAGACTCCAGTCGGCATGATGATGGTATATGCAGATCAGAGAGTTTTAATACTGGTAATATGACTGTACTTTCACCATATTTAAATGCAACAGTATTGCCTGGCTCCTCCTCTTCCAGTAGAGGGAACATAGAAAATTCTCGATCTGAAAAAGACAGAAGTCTTGACAGGGATCGAGCAGTAGGTTTAAGTCCCTATCATCTAGAGAATACTGGTAACTCCTCCAAGAGAATGGGAATGCATTCTACTGCTTCAGCTCAGATTGCCAAAGTTACGGAAGAAGTAACAAGCATGCATATTCCACAAGAAGACAGAAGCTCTGGTTCCACTTCCGAAATGCACTGTTTGACAGAAGACAGAAATGCCTCAAGGAGATCAACCACTGCCCATACTCACTCAAATGCATATTTTCCTAAATCTGAGAATTCAAACAGGACATGTCCTGTGCCTTATACAAAAATGGAATACAAGAGAGCTTCAAATGATAGTTTAAATAGCGTCAGCAGCAGTGATGGCTATGGTAAAAGAGGCCAAATGAAACCTTCCATTGAATCTTACTCCGAAGATGATGAAAGTAAATTTTGTAGTTATGGTCAGTATCCAGCTGACTTGGCACATAAGATTCATAGTGCAAATCATATGGATGACAATGACGGAGAGCTAGATACTCCTATTAATTATAGTCTTAAATACTCAGATGAACAGTTAAATTCTGGAAGGCAAAGTCCCTCTCAGAATGAAAGATGGGCAAGGCCTAAGCATATAATAGATGATGAAATGAAACAAAATGAACAAAGGCAGGCAAGGAGCCAAAATGCAACCTACCCTGTCTACACTGAAAGTGGAGATGATAAACACATGAAGTATCAGTCACCTTTTGGACAGCAAGAGTGCATTTCTACCTTTAGATCAAGAGGATCCAATGGTTCAGATCAGAATAGAGTAGGCTCAACTCTTGGAATGAATCAGAAAGTAAACCAGTCCTTGTGCCAGGTTGATGATTATGATGATGACAAGCCAACCAACTATAGTGAGCGTTATTCTGAGGAGGAACAACATGAAGAGGAAGATAGACCAACTAATTACAGCATAAAGTACAGCGAAGAGGAACATCATGTCGATCAGCCTATAGATTATAGTTTAAAATATTCAACAGAAGTTCCG